AAGCCAGAGAATGTACGAGGTCCCGCTCAAGTTAAGAAAATGCTTCAGCCAGAAGGCAAACATCAAATAGAAAGAAGGGAGGAGTCATGCGATAGAAGACGAGTAAGAAAACACAAACTAAATGAGAAAATCGAAATTGAGGAAGTTAAGAAGCTGTTTCAGCCGGATGGAGATGTATTAAAAAAAATGGCCCCAAAATCCGAAAACTTAGATACTTCAAGGAGGGAAGCCTTGAAAACGCATTCAAGTAGGTCAATGGTGAGGAATAGCCATCTCAAGGATAGAAGGGAGAAGTCACGAGATAGGGAAGAAACACGAAAACAGAATCCAATTGATAAGAAAGTCGAAAGTGAAAAGAACGCCCGAGGTCCACCTCATGTAGACAAGAAGCAGCCAGAGTCGGAATTATTAAGACCAATGGAAAAAGCAAAGCTACAAGACGAAGATGCTTCGAGGGGGGAAGCCTCGAGAAAGCATTCAAGTAAGTCAATGATAAAGGATGGACGCCAGAGTGATGGAAGGGATGAGATACAAGATACGAGGCATACACGGAGAGCAAATCCAAATGATAAGAAAACTGAAAGTGAGGAGAATAGAAAACCAGAAAATGTGCGAGGTCCAGCTCAAAAAGAGAAGCCGCAAGATATGGATATATTACAATCAAAAGCTGCATTAGCGGCAACACTCAAGGAAAAGAGTTCAGACAAGGACCAGAAGCACACATCTCGCAAACGAAAAAATGACGACAATGAGTTGGTGGCTGAGAAGATACGCAAATCTGAAGGAAAGAAATAGAGCGCATAGGTGCAGGTGAATTGGAATGAGACCACGGGCAGATTTGATTCGTCAGTGAGTAGTCACTCGCTGTCATTATTTAGGGAATGGCAATGTGTGTTTTCTGCAAATGTCGTAGCACTTAACATCAGCGGACTTTTGAATTCCCTCGAGGTAAAAATAAAAGAAATGCGCAAACATGAAGCTGTCGTACAATTTATTTGTGGACACGATATGTGACTGAGTTGTCACAGAGGGGGTGAGTGGGGGTCGAGCCCCGTTGGGACTGGGTTACGTGTGTGTGTGTTGTGTGTGTGTGTGTGTCTGTGTGGATTTACGTGTGTGTTCATTTGAATGTCAAGTCATGTTAAATAACCGCAGGACATTGGTCGCCGGCTTAAATTACGCATACTGGAAGCCACTTTGTAACTGTCAGAGTCAAACGAACCGAAGTCAAATTCAAACGCGAAAAAATATGTTCGCTCATTAATATCAATTTATGAGCAGAGACACGAAATTAGTCAAGTGACAAGTTGCGCTGCAGGATGTGGACCTCACACAGCCATACACACACGCACACACGCACATGTACACACAGGCATTTTCTGTCGCTGACATCTGAAGGCATATATGAGTTTGTGTTTAGTTTTGGGTGCTTTTCGTGGCTTGCGTCTGGGGCTTTATTGTGTTGCGTTAATTAATTCCAAAAATGTATTGCGTGTCCTGCCAAAAGGACAAATATGCACACACGAAATCATGTCATGTGGGCCCTGTTGCGTGTGTAGACGACCGGGCATGTGTGTGTCTGTCTGTGTCATTAGCAGCGACTCTTTAAATTATGAAAAATTATATTATGTGTGCACATATATAAAGCAAATCAGCGTCAAATACCAGCTTACAGCTCTTACAGCTCATAAGCTAAAAATAAATGAAGGCCTTCTATATCGAGCGACACATCAATCAGATATACAACTCGTATCGTCAGCATCCAATTAAAGTCTGCACATTCGTCTTCAGATTTAGTTCTTTATTTATTCTTGCACATATTCAGATTTTTTTTAATCCTCATCATATTTAGATTTATCTTATAAAATGATAATCCAAGTAAATACATGAAAGATTTCGCTTACAACTTAAATAATTGACAGACAAAAGTGTAAAACTAGGTTTAGCGACAATCCGAAATTAAAGTAAAATTGAAAATATATTGGTATATATATTTGTGTGGGAAGTTACATAGTTCACTATACAATATATATATTAATTAGAATTAATTTATTTTAATTTACAATTCGAGTCACATTATCATTTGATTTCGTCCATTCAAAAAGCACTTGCAATTAATTTATTAAGATGGTTCCAAACAAATTTCTACACTTGACAAAAACTTGAAGTTTCTGAGTGTTATTTATTTAATTTATTTTCTTTTTTATTCTTGAAGAGTTAAATTTGAATAAATTTTGTTTTGGGCGGGTGGCAAATTTTTTACATACACATTGAACATTGGCGCGAGCATATGGATTTTTTTCATTATTTTTGTTTTTTAATATATACTATATATATGTACTTACATATTTGATAAAGTTTCGACAACAGATGATCCATAAAGTTCTTTCACATTTAACAAAATATTGTATTATCAGTGTTATACGAGTAACATATATCGTATGCAATATATATACATATATCTTGATTTGCGCTTAGCTTGCTTCCATTAATGTTTATCTGTGTGTATATAATATGTTATCTATGCCATATAAGTCAGTAATATACTCAGGATTTGTTCATTTTTGAAAGGGGGATAGTCTTTTCGTAGATCCAATGTGACTAACTAATTTAGTTATAGACTACACGAGTTAAGTGACTATAATTAATGCTAACCTCTATGGATCTCATAGTCTTAGTCTAGTTGGTATATACAATACGGGACACATCTAAATTCTCAAAGGGTTCTTCGATATACATTTATATATATATATAGATAGATTTTCTTCGTATATTCATATATATTTTCGCTATGATGTATTTGCATTTAGTTAAGTATTTGTTTAAACTAGTTTCTTGGTGAATTCACAAGCATAGCTCATTAATTTCATTGAAGTAATTTGCGCACAAAGTATCTCAAGTATAACTAGTTCAGTATCTATCCGATTCTTGGTACATACTCGTAAGTGTAAGCTAAAACTATCAGTATTGCCTGGTTTCACCGAAATGCATACATATCGTCGTGTATATATATGCCGACATGCACTGAACTATATGCATACTACTCTCTCAGGGTAGTGGAGTAAACTATAAATGCTTCGATCTCTTGTGGTTTACAGTTCAAGTCGACTCCGCTCAACTTCGCTCCTAATCGCCCTGCCCTCTTGGAAGTCTTGTAAATTCTGTTCGCTTCGCCTCGCCTCATGCGAAATGTCTGCCGTGAGTTATGTTCGAGGAGCTAGACGAAGGTGCTGGACAACTACATAACTATAATACAGTGTGGGAGTGCAGTTCTGGCTCGGGCCTGGGCAGGGCCGGCAGTGCGGCTGCGGGGGAGGATGAGGAGGATTTGCTTAGACGATGGTGGTGCGCTCGGCGCCCGATGTGGTGCAAGTACTGCTCCCGCCTATGCACACGATCTGACATTTAATGTCATCTTTGGCTAACTCTCAGGAGCCCATCGTCTCGTAGTTACTCGCGCCACCGCCGACGACGCCCATCAAGGAGCTGCCCACGCTTAGTAGCGGCGACGGTGTGCCAGCTCCGGTGCCCAGCGTGCTGTAGGCGGTCTGGGTGCGCGGCGAGGTGAGCAGCGACTGGGCAGCTCCGATGGTTATATTGCCGCTGGTCACCGAGCTGGTCATCGCTGCCGAGACGCCGCCCAGGTGCAGGCTGCCCGGATGCGGCAGTGTGTTGCACGTGATGCCAGCTCCAATGCTGCCGCTGTTGGTCTGCAGCGAGCCGTTCGACTGGCCGTTCAGCAGGGGCATGGTGCAGGTCGTGGTCGAGCCGTAGGGCGAGGTTGGCGACGTGCGTGTCTCGTACGCGGGCAAGTAGGTGGTGGCGCCTCCGTTTGGCCCACTGCTGCCGCGTCCCGGTATTCTGGTGTAAATATTTGGCGGCGTTCGTGTTGACAACAGGGGCGGCGGAGCTGTGTAGACCGGGCGCTGGGCAGCTGGCGCCCTCTGTGGTGTGT